TCATTTGTCGTCTTTGTTGCAGACAGAGTGGTTTTGAGTCGGCGCGAGATGCAGATAAAATGTCACTCTGAAAAAAATTAAACAAAACAAAATTAAACTTGGAAACAAATAGCACGCGAGGCGGGTTACTATGTCAATTAATTTCTACTGTCGAGATTATGAAAATGAAGCATTTCTGTCCCCGTTCTCTTCTGTATTGTCGGGCTGTTGCGGCTTTGAGGGACATTCAACCACATGACATTTGAAGAGAAAGAAAAAGCTACTGTAGGGAACTGGATTGGAGCCATTAGCAGGCCAGAGACTGATTGGACTGTACTTAAGAGCGCTGCTTCTCCAGTTGCTGTGGGTGGATGAATACATTAGCATGTGACATGCCCAGAACTGAAGACAGCCGAGTCTGTCACCACAGCTTGCAGAGTGAAGTGTGTGTGTCTGTGTGTGTGTGTGGCTGGCGAGTGGAGGGGTTACACTGACTTGGACTGATTCAGTTTGAGCATGTGTTATGTTGATGTGTTTGTGTGTGTGTGCGTGGTGGATGTGTGTCGGGGTGTGTGCATTGGCTTGGATTGACTGTGTGTGTGTGTGTGTTCAGGGTCGGGGAGAAAGAGGAGGGGTGGTGGTGTTGAGGAAGCTGTCTGGCAGCAGGGCTTGCCTACTGTGCCTAGCTCTGTCTACACCCACATGCACAGCTGTGTACCACACAATCCAGTGTTGCCATAGGGTTATCACACACACTCACACACACACATATATGAACGCAGAAAATAAGGCCAGGAGTTCAGTCACAGCCACGTCCACCACTCCAGCCTTCTTCACTCCAGCAAACATCCTTCTCAACCTTTTGCAGGTGGGAATATGGTTTGAAATGACAATGAAAATCAACAGCCCTCCATTACATCTAAACAGACACTTTGCTTTTCTGTTCAGCGGTTCATCGATCGCCTGCCATATGGTAAGCGGAGGTTGTTATAGATTACTAAAATAATGAAAGGCTACTAGCAGCCGTTACGTCTGCGCTATTCCTTTGGTTAGTGAGTCAGAGACCCTGAAGATGGAGCGAGAGTCGGGTCCTGGGAGAGGAGGACTATTTCTGTGTCGCCTGCAGCCACTGACACAGCGCGAGTGTTTACTGCTGTGCCATGCTGCCTCTCACAGTGGGAGCAGTTGAAGGATGACGGCTGACATTATTGTGCCTCCAGCCTGTAGCAGGAACAGTACAGGGAGAGCTTATTTAACCATCAGGTCACCAGACTGACTGCAACATTACAGAAAAAAGGAGTTGATGACTGCAGTCTCATGGCCATTGCAGCCGTGCGCAGTCTGTTAACTTGACAACCTGCAGCCAAGGTTAGATTTAAATAGACCACTTTTAAATTTTGAGGGTCTTCTCCGAGAAGAAGAGATGTATTTAAGGACAGCAGGTGTAGCATGGATTCAAAATGTAAAAAAGAAAAAAAAAAAAAAAGAGTGAACAGTGTCTGGTTTGATATTGCAGCAGTACACCTCTCTCTACACAAGATGGCACTGGTGATACATGTGTCCTCAGCTGAGCCTGAGCCTCAGTCTGGGTTGCAGCAAGCTATTCCTTCAGGTTACTAATCTAAATACAGACACTCCTCATACATTGGTTTTCACTCTCCTCCGCCCCAGAATAGCAACTCATTGATCTAAATGAACGAGAGATTATTTGAAATGAAAATAAGCAGCTGGGAGTGAAGTTTCACTGCATTTTTTTGATAAGTAACAAAAGGAATTAATTCACTTGTGAACCTCAATGATAGTGGCCATTCCTCGGGCCAGGTAGGCAAAATCCTTTGAACTATGCCAACCCGGTAGACGCTCGGTATCTCTGTTTTTCCTGCAGAGTAGTCGATCTTGTTTCCTCTCCCCATCAAAACACTGATAAACAAGTGCTGGAGGGTTTTTTTTCCTAGACAGTGTATAAAATGCATGAGAAAAAAAACTGTGCGGGGCTTCATTTGAGATGATATATTCTTTCATTCTGGTGCTCACTGTCACTGACTCACAGATTTGCCCCATATCTAATGTAGACAGTACTAAACCACATCATGCATGGTATGGGAATGCAAATAAACCTTTATTTAATTAGATGTAGGGGGTATAAAAAAAAGCCCCATACTAATAATCAGAGATCATTTGGAGTAGTTCAAGTGTTTGCTTTTGTAGATGAAAAACATCCTTTTTCAAGCTGAACTCCACCGACTCTGCCTTGTTTTCCTTCCTCTCTACATGTCCAAAGTGGTCTTTAAATGCAATCACTAATAAATATCTCTTTAACTGAGCTACACTGGTTTACTTAACATCACATTATTTACATTTCATTTGAAAGTGAAACCACTGAACACTGAATTCAAAAGGGGATTCTGGGGATATTTTTTTCTGTTGTAGATTCGATTCAACTGGTTACCTCAAGAGGCTTTCAATGACCTCTGGAGATATATGTATCACATACCAAATGCTGATTCACTTTTTTAAGCACACAATTGGACTGTATAGATGTAACTGCAGTATCGCCACCATCCTGTTTCTTTTCTGGGTCTCCTCCTTGATGATTTTTAATTGTAAGTACTTTTAAAGTTTGACTTTCATGGTTAATATTGGACTTTTGTCCCATCAGGCACGAGGAGCTCTCGGGGAGCCGGCTGTAATATCTGTATCAGCCTCTCCAGTCAGGGTGAGCCATCCCATTCAGACCGACTCTCAGGGCTTCCATGGCAATTTACTCTCACGACTACACAAAAGAGTCCTCAAAGTCCTCAGAGACCTCGGCAGATAGACAACTAACAGCATCTTACGAAAAGGGAACACTTTACACTATTTCCTAACGTTGTGAAGGCAAACGCTCCACAGCAGCAGCAGCAGCAACCAGCACGCTTCATGCATCCGTTTTAATAAACACTCCACTATTTGTTGTGATAATCGGGACATAGTGAGAAATGAATTATATAAACACTGATTTTATGAACTTTTCAGAAATGCCTCGGGGGCTTTGCTGTACACTTGTCAGTTTATTTGAAGTATGTTTGCAATTATTGCATTTGTTAACTCATGCCACTATTTTTTACTTGACATGTTGCTTTGGGCTATTGACATTATTGATTTAAAAATAACAATACGGTTGCAGTGTGAACTCCATTTATGAGCATATCCATAAAACATTTACATACAGTAATATGTTTCGCCCTCTTTTTCACAAAATCCATTTGGCTGCCAAATATTATTGATATCACTGACATTATTATCACACTGAGCCAACATGAGTCAACATCCAGCTTTACTTAGCAGGCGAGCTGCTTTTATATTACTGTAAACAATGCATTATTATGCATCAGATACACAAGAGAGACTCGGGTTATGAAATAGGAACAATAAAAGCATGCACGTCTAGTTTTTCCTTGTCAATTTGATGCTAAATGTTTTTGCTAATGAGCAATGGGACTAATGGAGAAGAGGCCTGTCTATTGTATGGAGTGCATGAGTCAGATTCAAGCCCACACTTCATCAGCTTTCAAATCATATTGTTTCATATGATAGGACAGCTCACATTATTCATACAATGCAATTTTAATTGGGGGAAAAAAATCAGGAAAGAGACGGGAACATACAGAAGGCTTCAAAGCAAACCATGACAACATGAGTGCTCCATTTTTGTCTCTCGGTTTAACTTTTGAATATCTCACATTGCTTGAATACTCTTGGGCATTTATGCACCTTGTTATTCTGATGACAGAACATCAATTGTGAATGCCTATCTCGCTTGCTTATCTGTTACTTGCAGATGAGAGTTATTTCAGCTCGACAGATTGAGACGTGGTGTTACAGATTAAAATCGCCTCAGCAAAGAGGAATGTGTTTGAACAGTAGCACTATTTAAAGCATTTTGTGGATTGCAACAAGAGGGAAAACAATGGAGGATAAGACAACAGTAACTACATCACAAGAGACAGCTGAGGCCTGTGCATCATATACTGTACCTCCTTAGTTTAACATGATCTTAAAAACAGATAAAAGAATTGTTAGGATACAGAAAGCCAGCAAAGAAAGCTTCCTTTAATTCTGGGCTGGCGTGTTAGTATTTTATCTTTTAGCTTGTTTGTTTCTTTCCCTCATTTCACTTTAGTTTGATTATGTTGCGCACACTGCTCTAATTGCATGTGAATATGGGGAGGCTTTGTATCTGCTTTAAAGCTCAAGTAGGGAGTTTAATTTTGGTGTCATTTGGCAAAAATCCCATAACAAAGCATATTGTAATTCAAGTGAACTGAGAGAAAAGTAGACTTCTGCACCTCAGGCTTTAGAAAATCCAACCCATGACGGGGGACTTTGGTCAATCACAGGTCGTTTCAGAGACAGAGTTCCTGTTGGCTGTTCTACAAATGCATCCCCTCAGTGAAAGCCTGATTCAATGGCGGAGGATCCTGCAGAGAAAGTTGCTGTTCCAGCATTAGCATCAACTGCCTACACTGCAAAGCAAGCCAAAAAGAAGAATTAGCCAACACCTGTCAATATCAGCAAAGTTTTTCAGACATGGACCAAAAATGCTGCTAATTGTTTTGCCTTCTGCTGATTGGCTTCGTGCTCAAGTTTATGTAGCTAACGTTAGCTGGAGTGTCAAATCACAGTATGTCTGCCTCACTCCCCGCCTCTACAGACCACTATACCTGGAGGAGAGTGGGCAGCAGCTCCGGAGATGGACCCCAAGTCAGTGGCCGCAGCAACCTGAATCCAGCTAGCACAAACTCCAGCTGCAGGGGACCAGACAGCCGCAGCTGAAAGGTTAGCCACCTGGTAGACCCAGTGCTGCTGCTGGCCGAATTCGAATTTGAGCAGCTACTGCCCACTCACCTCCCAGGGAAACAGTCCACAGCGGCAGGGAGCAAGGCAACGTGATGGTGAGGTGGCTAATGTTTAGCTGGTTACTTCCTGTCTCATTTGTGGTGTGAGAAAGACAAAGAGTAGAGCAAGGAGAGGCTGAGCGATTGAGCTGTGCACAACTCTTTAATCAAACATAAAATAACTGATCACAAACAACTGAGACAAATACAAGTAGTTCATTGACTAAATGTGATAGCACCACTCAGACTGCTGCACATATTGTTATACTGCATGTACATTTTCATACATTATAGTGTAAGTTGAACAAGTCTTTTAAATCTATGAGGTGAAAAATGTATGGACAGGCAGTGCTGAAGTTGTTTTTTTTAAGCAGATTAGTTTTTGGTGACATCTTCCAGACTAAATTGCACCTATTCAACAGGATCAAACAGCAAAGACACTAAATGGGTAGATAAGCAGAGAAAATTAGACAGCTGTAAACGAGCAATGCCTTTTAAGAAAGAATCAAAACGCCTCAAATGCCATTTAGACTGTTTAAACTGGCTAATACTCTGTGGGCCAACTTTAAGATTGGATAATAATTGTGTGCAATGGACTGCTTTGGTCTCACAACGTGGTCTGGAATATTTATCAAAAGGAGAAGTTGCACCTGTGTCGACACAAACAGTTTAAATCCCAGACAGCACGCGCCCTCCTCAGATCCTCCCCAGCATGCGGGCGATCCACCAGTTGCACGGCATGACAACCTGACAGATGACCCGGCCTCCTTGGTAGTAGTATGGCCACGGGTTGAAGCCACCCAGGGGCTCGTGGTAGCGGCGGCAGTAGCGGTAACCACGGCGACAGTGCTGGCAGCAGTAGCCGTGGTCATCCAGACGGTTATCCAGCTCAATTCCAACGTCTCTCTGCAGAGGACACAGCAGTGGGCAGGGTTACAATCACACACATGACAAATGCCAGTCCTCCTACGGCAAGGGCAGGGGAAGAAGACGAAGGAAAAGAGGAAGAGGAGGAGGAGGGGATGGCGTGAATTGATGAGCCTGCTTTCCTTGTAGGTCAGCAGAATATATGTAAAAACCAAACAAGAGTGAAAAGATCAGAATTGATGTCTGTGAAAATGCAAACTTGTGCCGTGCTTGATGACTGTGACAAAGAGATCAAGATAGCAGGGAGAGTGAGCGAGCTTGATTTAAGCTGCAGGAGCATAAAACATGATATAATACCCTTGACCTTTCTATTATACCAGCGGTAGCAAGACTGCACAATGCCCCTGTCTCTGGATCCGGCATTCACAGCCTCTCCACCAGTGCTATCTTCAATCAAAGGGACTCTAACGTTGGTAGTTACCAGCATAATTACACTATTTCTTTCATCTTTGACCTCTTAACTCCCTCGACCGAGGCCCACACACTGCACCAAAATGGCAGCCCCTCCTCCAATAGAGCATTCAAATTAGAGCTCCCCACGTCTTGGCGCCCTCCCCCTGACCTTGACTTTAAGTGCATGGCACATTCCTAAAGCAATTAGCAGAGTAATGATCGCCTAACAAGGATTCTTTCATTTGCTCTTGCTGGCTGCCTCTGAATTTATAGAGGGGCCAAATGAAATCCAAACGAAAGGTAAATTGGGTAGAATTAATGGCCCTTGGATTTTTCCATTGTGCTGGTTGGTTCATGCCCCCGTAGACTCATGGGGGCTGAGTGCCATGCCTTTGATCAAGAGCAACTCCAAATGGGGTTCGGAGAAGTGCCACTTAACTCGCCGCGCAAGTTGAGGCAGCGACTGCCCTCAGTACGCATTTGACCACATTTCAATCTCTTTTAGTAAATGAATCCTCAGAGACAATCCGCCACTGTCTCGTTAAACTGCACGGATCCAGGAGTCGATGACTTCACGTGCAGAACAAACTGGCATAATTCTTTGCCAAGCTCCTACAGTGACTCAGCTACATGCAACAGGGCAGAACAAAACACATCCACTGTTGGGAATAAGGAATGCGTGGGAATTGTTTAAGAGGACAGGACCCGCAGGAACACATGGCTGAGTCCCTTCAGTCCCCTGCTACATTAAGTGTGGGAATTAGGGGCTTTCTTGCATCCACTGTACAAGTCGGTGGGAAGTCAATCAGAGTGAGTTTACACACATTATTTGATTTCTTTTCTGTCCCAGCTACAATCACGTCACAAATAGGGCCACTGAAAATCTTGGGGTGGCAAACCAGAACCAAAAGCCATAACTGAATTTCAGCAATTCAGTAATGCTGTCGAAGTATATAGGCTAGTTATAAGCTAGTTGAAAACTATGTCATTATGGAGAGTTGAGGAATCATATACTGATATACTTTGGTTCCTTATTTTACAGCTAATATTACTAATTATCCGATGTGGATGAATATCAGTTTACATATTAAGTTCCACAACAATTTTGTTTTAATGTATCTGCATGTGTTAGGTGTTTTTGTGTTCTTTAAATAGGCTGGTTGTCCTTCTCCTTAAAAAAAGACAAATATACAGCTTTAATCTGAAAGAGTACATCAATTCTAAGGAAAAGATAGTTACTGGGAAGCCTTCTCAAGCTTGGGGGAGACTTGTGGGTACCCCAGAACAACATATTCTCATCGAATGGTTTGTATTATACCCTACAAAAATGGAGACACAACAGTTCATTCAATATCCTACGAATTAGTGCCCTACAAATGATGTTACATCCTTAATGTACAGTTACTTGATTAACATAAATTCACAGAGGTTAGGTTTAGGCAAGTAAAGTTAATGTGGTTAGGTTTAGGAAAAAAAACATGGTGACTATGTAACTTAATCCTTTAAAACCAGAGAAAATTGGCTTGATGTCTCTTAAAAGCATGGAAAAAAGGCACTTGGCAACGAAAGAAGAAATGACCCCCCCAAAAAAAAAGAAAATTCGAAGAAAGAAAAAAAGAAAGAAAGAAAGAAAGAAAGAAAGAAAGAAAGGACATTTAAAAAAACAAACAAACAAGGACATGAACTGGAAAGAGTGCTTTAAAATGTTCTGTGACATCATTTTAAACATAATAATAATAATAATAGTTTTTCCTACCTTTTTTTCCCTTAGTTTATTTTTTTTTAATAATTTTCTAAATCTTTTATATTTGTGCAATTTATGGGACATTTCCAACCAAGTTGCTCATTGCCTTTCCTCCCATGTTTTTGAAAGAAATCAGTGCTCTCAGGGTTCAAAAGCAGCACAAGAAAATTGATGTTACTCCAGGTTTCAAAAGGTTAAAAGGATTCAAAGTTTACTCAGAGTTCACACTGTTCTGCACATGATACTCCTGGGGAGACTTTCTGCATTTCTTATTCACTCTTGTCAGTGCCTTGGTCGCATGATCGCAGGCTTTCAAAGGACGTGGGATATTTGGGTGCATTATTTTTTGTAGTAAATTATACAAACAGTTTATGAGACCAGCCCGCCCAGAACCCACTTTTATTTAGATATCTTGAGGTGAGAGTTCAAGGGACCCATTTAAGCCATGTGAGTTTTTCCCTTGTCAAAACTTTAGCCCCATTACCAGCAAGCTGTACAAACATGGTCTGCACAAACAGGTGCCATTGGTTGTCTAGTGTCACAGGATATCTCTCCCTTTGTATGAGCTTAAAAAATGAGCATGCCACAGTCTCTTAAAAACAGTAATGTTGGTCTCCAGTTAATTTTGCCAGTGAGGGCAGCAGTAATTGTTTCTGAGAACAAGAGAAGGAGGTAATGAGAGATCAACACAAACAAACAACTTAGCTCACAAAACATACTGATACAAAACAAGTCAATTTCTTCTTCTTTTATATATTTTTTTGATGCTGATGGCTTTTGCATTTTCATTTCGGTCTCTACATGTGCTGCACTCCACCATACCCTTCAGTGCTCCAGCATGTTCTGACTGCTATGATCACTCACACATTGTCATGATCCTGGGTTTGTGTTTGGCGTCTCTTATCTTGAGGACTTTGTTTTCTGGGTTTTGGGTGTTCTGTGTTGTCTTTTTTGTTGTTTCATGTTCATGTTCAACATGTTTCCTGTTATATTTTGTAGTTTAACTCCCCATGTGTTGGGTTTTTCTTCCTGCCTTTGTGTACGTGTTTTCCCGCCTTGGTGATTGTCTGCCCCGCCCTGATTTGTTTCACCTGTCCCTCGTTATCTCCCTGCTGTCCTTGTGTTTTTGGTCTTTGCTCCCCTTGTCTTTTGTCGTCTGCGTTGGTCTTCTGTGCTCCTTGCTGGGTTCCCTCCACGCTCCTCGATTACCGCTTTATTCCCAGTTAAGTTTTTGTGTTTCTTATTTGTTTTACTTCAGTCTGTTCCCTCCGTTTTGTTGCCTGATTGTTTTTGTCTTTTGGTATCAGCTCTCCTTTTGTTCCTGAAACCTGCCTGCTTGGTGTTTGGGCACAGTCACACATGAAATTAACACGGGTGAATATCTGCCTCCCGTTCACTTCCATTTAATATGAGCAAAGGAGCCAATAAAAATATTGCTTGTGGTGGCAAAGCAAATTCACATCTAAGCATCGTACGGAGTTAACTTTGGTGAACTCTGACCAGTCGCAGCCTCAACAAATAAAAGAGAAGTACGTGTGGAGGAGCCAGTGATTCTTGGTGAGTCTAACCAGCCATTTTGGATCATGTTGGCCACGAAAAATGCAAACTGCCCAACACGAGAGATGAGTCTGCAGACATTGATGAATTGCAAGAAAATGGAAAATTTACCAGCAACATCATGTTGCTTTCTAGATTAGCAAGCCAGCTAACATTAGCCAGCAAGCTAGCTTTCTGTTTGCATCACAACCAGCACTGCCCATATTACTGGCTCAGCAGGTGATAGTTATTCGCCTGCATTCGCTCATGTGTGACCGTGCATTTATGCATTTGAGTCCTCTTTCTGAACCATAAGGCCTGACACACATTACAGTGAGCTGCACTGCCAGGAGTACAGGTTGCACCCCCCTGCAGATCGACCTTTAGCATTAGATAATTGGATCATTTTCCCCTTATGTTTACATTTTTTTAAACATTCATTTATGTATTTATTTGGAGGTTGGCTCCCTGCTCTGTGTGGCACCCCAGGCAACCACCTAGGTCGCCTATAGGAAGATCCTCCACTGGTAAGCGTGACTAATAAAATCAAAAAGTGCAGCATGCATCTGATGTGAGCGATGATAAATTGAGTGAAATTACACACTCGTGAGACATACTTAAAACACATGGACAGGGTGCGACGGATGATATCGAGAATAGCCCTGTTTGATTTATTGCTATGACAAGCGCAGGTAGGCTTTTAATGATTTATTGTTTCAGTCAAGTTTCAGGTCATCAGCTTCCAGGCAACAATCTGTTATGGAAACAACACGAAAGCTGTCAATGGACCAGCGATAATCTTATCAGCTCCTCGCAGCCCAAACTGGGATGTTACCAAATCTGGAGCTCCGGCTCGGAAAATGAAGAAAATATTTTATTCAAATGATGCTGCGTTTATCAAAACAAACAGCCAATAGGCAGCATTGTACCTTAAAGACAATTAATCAGAGCTATCCTTTTAAAACGGAGGGTACATATTAATCATTCTGGCTTTGAGTTGCCGTCTCTAGTGGGATGCCGCGGTGATAAGAATGGTTCACCTTGGGAAATCTGAGGCAGTCACTCAAAAACAAGCAGCATTAATGAAGAGTAAAAGCCATTACCCCCATGCTGCATCTGATTTCATCACACACCCCGGCTCACGTATACACATGCAAACACACACTCGCACACACAGAGGCACCTCTGTGCATAATATGAGGCGGTGGATATGAATGAGTCTGCAGAGTAGAAAACTGCGTCAGTCATTCAATAAGATGTAATGAATCAAAGCACGACTCCTCTAATCTCCACACTTGTTGGTGTTATTTCACACACGCTGATCACCGCTCTTCATGAGCTTCAAGCACGTGCCTGGATGTGGTATTAAATCTCATAGCCGAGCTCATCACATTCATTCTGGGATCAAAACAGCAGAGATAACATTTCTGTTTCATACCCTGCTTTGTATTCCAAGTGGGGTTTTTATGTGGAGGCACAGGACAGTGCAACGTATAAAAATGCCTCAGTGCTTCTCCCTGATCTCAGATTTTTATCTCACTGTGCTCTACAGTGAGGTGGAATGACACTGCAATTGGATGTAATTGAATAAGGAGATAGTCATGTATTTCAGTAAACACTGCTGGTTTACCAGAGTGATAAGGGGCTTTAGCTTCAGTGTAAAGATTCCTCTGGAGGCACAAACAGCTCCTGCATTTATAGATTTGAATTCCTTCAGCTTTTTACACATCTACTATGCACGAGGAGCCATCCAGCCTGACCCTGAGTGTGGTCCAAACACCTCAACGCGAGCAGAAACACACACCAAACATGTTTACATGCATGTGAGGTCACTCCATATTGGAGGCCTCTCCTTGCTTTACGGGTCAAGGACGGTGGTACCATCCCTTCAGCCTTGTCGGATGGTAGTTATTCAGTTTGAAATTTCCAGGGCCACCTCTGATACACACTGCACTATGACATGGCAGCCGTGGCAAAGGTCAGTTTCATATATCTGTCAGCCTCTGTCACAAGGACTCAGGCGATTATTCTGCTTTACAGACGTGAACTGCCGGGCTGAGATTCAGACTTATGAAACGCAGATGAAGTGAATGCATGTTATTATGTGTCTGCGTGTTTGTGTGAGAGTGATGGATAAAAGGATGTAGGTAGAAAGCTAAACAGACTGTGTGTGTGTGTGTGTGTGTGTGTGTGTGTGTGTGTGTGTGTGTGTGTGTGTGTGCTTGTTTTCAGACTGTGTGCACATTTACATGAGTTCTGGATGAATGAAAAAAAAAAAAAAAAGGTTTGGCTAACACATGTGGCATCCCACTGGAATGAGCGAGAGTTCAGACTCCCAATTACAGACTGCTGCCTGCCCTCTGCTTGGCCACAAAGGCCTTTGTTATCGCCGGACCCACAAACAGAGCCTGGATGTGCTGCTGGAATGGATTGCAGTGGTATGCATTACTCAGCTGATAGTGCCAGAACGTTTCAAAAGGAGAGCCGAGTTTTTCATCCCCTGGTATGTTTTAATTGCATAGCACTGCATCTCCTGCCGCAGACGATGAGGGAGAAGACAGAGGAGGCTGTGGGGAGGGGGGGCAGGGGATTGAGGAGTTGAGCGGGAGGTGTTTCTGGGACGGGCCTGATAAATGTCAACATTATAGGACGTCTCATTTCTCTGCGTGTCTCTCACCATTTCTCACAGCTCTGAGACGGAGAGGGAGCCTGACTCATTATCCTTGAATTTAACTTTAGTGGCTATTCACCTGTGAGTGCTGAATGTCTGTGTCGGATATCTTTGCACCTGCGTATGTTCCTGATATCTTTAGTGTGCAACTGCTATGTTTTTTGTGTCGGTGTGAGTGCGTAATTCCTGTGTGCCGCTTTATATGATTTCCCCTCAGAGTCAGGGATGATTAAGCGTACAGTATTGAGAGGTGTGCATGCGGCACAGCAAAATATGCCACTTGGCCTTTCCAGTCATTTCATACGCTTTGATAATTAAAGCATTATTAATAAATGTAACTTATCTGTGCAGCACTGAGTGACCTTGAGAGTGCTCCTTTGTAGTCCCTGAGAAAAAAGGAAGTGAGAAGAGGAACTAACGGGCGCTGTAAGGCACAAGTTTCTGCCTTTGAAAGGCTAGATATTCCTCTCAATTAATGGAGAGACATTAAGGGAGTCTTCAATGAACTGGCCTTACTTAAACAGATATATAGAGCAATTGCTATGCCCTCTGGTGCACAAAGTCAGTTTTAACATCAATTAGTGAGCGATTTATATGCAGAAAGAGTCGAGGCAGAACTGGAGCTGATTGAAGTGGCTCCACTGTATCTCGTGGTGTGGTCCCCAGTTGATGCGGTGCATAGGGGCCCACTTACATAGTCGTTTACGGGCTGGTGGTCCAGGACATCTCGGGTGAAACGCTGACCCGTGGCCTCCGCGTCGGGCGTGTCCTCATTTCCCACCTCGGCATCTGAGACAGCAGGAAGAGTGAGGAGATGTTTATGTGCTTGCAACAGTTCTTCTATTGTTTGAAGTGAAGCTCTTAGATTAAATTTTGGCTCGTACACTCTATTTTCCCAGTGGCTTGATGTTAATTACTAACATTCAGGAGAAATACGCTGGAACTCATTCCAAAGCTTTTTCATGCTTCTGTCAAACAATGGTGTTGTTGCTGTTGTGATACTAACACACAAATCACTTTCCACAGATCCTAATTAGTAAAGCCTACACATCCTTTAGAGGAAAATCCCTAGAAAGCCAATCTCCAGATGACCATCAGCACCGATGGAATGTAAGTAAGTACATTTACTTGTGTACAGTGAGGAGGTATCTGTAGGGGGGTGGTTGGCACACTTTTCAGTCTTACTTATTTCTTTGGCGTCATTTATGTTAGAATGTTCAAACCAGCAGCAAATAAAAGGTCACAGTCTCAGCTATAAATAACATGTTTTAATGTTCACAGATGTTTTCCAAAATCAGGTGATTTGTGATTCACTGTGCAAACCGGCCCCTTCACAGGGTTGGTTGGCACATTGTTCACATCACTCCAGTTTTAGCCTCTTTACACTGGCTCCCATTTTTGTTATGCACATATTGGCTGCTGAAACAGTCGACGTGCATTACATCCGAAAACCAGCCGCTGGCAGTTTTACCAGCGGAGTTGCAGGTGACACTATCAGCCGGCTTGAATCGCAACTTTTCTCTGCAATGTTCTAAAATGGTTTTGTCTCGTTGCCAATCTTTGGCCTGAACTGGGCTGTAGAGTCGATTTTAAGATTTTAAGGATTACTTATAGGCTCTTCATTGTCTCTCTCTCTCTCAGCTATATCTCAGACCTCTTAGCATCGTAGACACGAGGACGTACTTTGAGGTCCTTGGGCAGAGGTCTTTTACCTGTTTCAGAGGCCCGGCTGAATACTAAAGGGGGCAGAGCGTTTGCTGTCAGGGCCCCGAGGCTGTGGAACAATCTGCCCGAGGAAATCAGGCCGGCTGAGTCAGTGATCTGTCGTAAGTCCCTTCTTAAAACATACTTTTATCGGTGAGCCTTTCCTGATTTTACTTGAGTTCTAAGTTCATTTAGACTGTCTTTTGTTTTTATACACTTAAGTGTTTTTATCAGCTCTTTTAAAAGTCGTTGTTTTCATGTCTTGTCTGTTTTAATTATTGACATGTAAAGCACTGTTTTCAAACTTTTAAACTGGTTAATATACAGTTATAGTTACTGTTGCAACTGACCCTTCGCTAAGTACTGTCCTTTGAATGCAGACTGGCCAATCATAGCATAGCATCGTTACCAGAGCATCTCTCCAACAAGAGTCCAACATCTATGCAGCTGTGCTCGATTGACTCTCATGCAATCATTCAGATTTCCTTCATTTTCATGCTGGTTTTGTGGATTTTGAGATAAATGTTGCGCCTGGTGCAAAGTATCAATTAAACTCATTACTTGGAGAGGTTGGAAGGAAATACATGTTTCTCCTCCATTCCAAAACCAAAATCAAGGGTCAGTTGGTTTGCACATGTGCCAACAAACCCCAAAATCAGTGTGCCAACCAACCCCACTCACATTTGACCCAACTTTGTGATGAAATTATTTCAGCCAGCTACAATCACTCATCACATACTTTCAAATCTTACATTAAAATGTAGCTGAATAGCTAAATGTTACAGCAAACTTGATGAAATTCAGATATCTTAACACAGTAGATGAGTGCTGGTGAAGAAAGCAAACACTTTAATCTGCTTCTGTATACATCTATACACCAACTACACTTCAGAGGGAAATATTGTACTTATTTTTTTAAAAACTTAATTTCTCTGATCGCTGGAGTTACTTTGTAGATTTAATATATAGTGCACACACTGCAAAAATCTTCTTGGCAAGTTTTTTCTTCCTAATCTTTTATTGAGTCCTAAAAGTCTTACTTTCTTGAAAGATGTGAAAAACACAACATAATAGAATTCAACTGGTTTTTACAAGCTTTGTGGAAAAAGGTGAAATATTTCTTTTTACAGCATCTTTTATTCTGCCTACTTTTGAGATTCGTTTTTTCATTATTTATTTTTTTCCACACAAACTATATAAGCTACAAAATGTTACAACATAATGGACGATCGAAAAATTAGCAGGTAGGACAAAAACTTATTTTACTTCCCCTCTCAACACAAGTATCAGAAACGGTCTACTGTAGATAGTCTGCCAGTACTTTCAACAATCTTTTATAAGACACAGTGCACACTTCCAACTGAACACGTACACAGTCGACGACAGAATATTATACGTCATATTGTTCAGTTATTTGGTATCTATACATTTTCTGAAGCTGAATAATAGATGAACAACATTTGACACATTTTTAAAGTTTTATTACCCTTGACTTGATAAACAGTCGGTTCCCTCGAATCCTCCTCATTTATAATTTGTATTTCTCTTTTCTGTAGTGTATATATATCAGATCTGTTGTAGTTGTACAGTAAGTGTGTCACCACACACCTCTACACAGTCACTGAAATATGATAAGATAAGTGAGAAATACAATGTTTGAAGGGCCATATAATCCAACATATCCTTTGCTTTGTTCAGAATTTTAATACTGTTCCTGTTCATGTGAGGTTTATAAGAGAGCTTAGGCTATAATTACACCCCTAAGTTACTAACACTATTGATCATGTGACTTCATTATTCTCTTTTGTAAAATTTAGTCAGGACACTAGTTAAAGAAAAGTTTATTTCCATTTGCAGTATTATATTTGGCGGTATGGCTCTGTTCTGTGGCCTCTCTGATTTCCTAGGCCTATGCCAGAGTCCTGCACTGGGTCGGGTGGTTTTTAAAAAAACATTTTTTCCCGGGTTCGGATCTGGGTGGAAAAAATAACATGCGGGTGGGATCGCGGGTTTTAGATAAACACATCAGTCATTAGTTCGGTAAACTACAGTTAACTATCTTGGTCATTATTTACTCTCTGAGGATCACCTCCGCTATTTCGCAGCGGTCATTGGTTTAGCTGTTTACACGCGTTTCACCATGTAATAACACAGTTTGTGATTGGACGACAAAATCAACATGGCTGCCACCGTCTAACAAGCGCCGCTTCCAAAACAGTAAATAATTATTAAGGTATTTGAGAAATAAGTGGATAAAACTTACATCTATCACTTTATAATGTTTCTGAAGTGTTTCCCTGATGGATTACTTCTCTCCTCAATGGATTCTAAAAACACGTGACGGCTCGTAACTGCTGAACGTCGCTCTGGACAGAAAGTAAGTCTATTATTACACATGTAAAGTTCCTTTGCATAGATTAAAAGTTTAAAAGCATTAAACGTAACAAACGAGTGCGTTTACACTCGTATGGGAGAAGAACACAGAGGGTTGATGATAGAGCTGAAGTCAGGTTTTTACTTACTTACTGGCACCTTAACTGTGGCGATATGCTGTTCAATATTCAGCCAATATGACCCAAAATGATTACTTTAAATCCGCGTTACAGGTCGGGCTGCGGGTCGTGTTTCAACGGGTCGGACCGGGTTGCAGTACTAATTAGCCTGATGCGCGGGTTTGCGGTTCGGGTGCGGGTTTGTACGTCGCCGGGTCGGGTCGGGGCGGATCTTGAAAACTGGACTCGTGCAGGACTCTGACCTACGCAGAAAGCCTAAGGCAGAGAGAGCACACCTCCCTGCCCTTCCATGCGCCTACATGGGAAGCCTAAGGCAGGGAGAGCAGCAGCAAAGACGGCTAATGGGAACGGAACAGCCACTCTGACCATCCCGCTATGCTGATTTGGATGGGAATGTCCGCTCTACTTTCATTTTATTTCTATGAACAATGCTGACAGAGCTAACAGTGTTAACCTGGGGGAAACTGTACGATGGGCACTACGCTTTTGTGACAACGTTGTCCCTATATCAGTGGTATCTGCTGAATCAGTGCAGTGTAGAGTGGTGGTGATTAGCTAAACAGTTGGATACACTTAAGGGGACTCACATACACTAACATGCAACCATGGCTGGACACTATACCTTTACATAAATGAAAATAAGAACTGTTGTGTTTTCGTCACCTTAGAATGAGCCATTTATATCTACATAGGGAGTGGGTTCTCTCCCATGGAGTCTGCCATGTTGTTTCTACAGTAGCCCAAAATGGACAAATCAAACACTGGCTCTGGATAGAGCCTTTTGCATTTGCGCGTGGCACATGGAGAAGTTTCAGTTGGTTCAGCCCGGTCTCACTCCAAAGTCATTGAGATCCAGCACTTGGGCAGTGACTTACAGTGTCAGAAATTAAAAAAAGGCACCCTTTAATGCTGGCATTATACGCGACCAGTTGCTGTTATAGTTTAATGGCGCCCGGTCAGTGCCAGGGGCATAGGGGTGGTCAATGGGTCCAACAAACACTGACTTTCACCTGAGAGAGTGGTGCTCATGTACTGTAAGATTATAAAGCCAAACCTTTTTTCCTAAACCTAACCATGTGTGTTTATTGTTGAAGGAAACAAAAACGTCAATTTTTGGTGTATTGACGTAGTGCGCTTATTTTGAAAAAGACTGTATGTAAATGTTAAATTTCCTGTGAAAACGGAGGTGTACCTTGAAAGAAGACAATGCATGTAATACCCAGGGTACCTTGCATGTCGTATGTGGACATGGAAAGTCCATGACCAAGCACCTCAATATGTGACGAGGTTGGTGTGAGAATGTGTCGGTTGGTTGCAATCACCAACCTCACCACCAGATGCCACTAAATCGCACTAAGCACTGGACCTTTAGGGAAAGGATCTGAATGTTTCTTCAAACACTGACCATCAGTCTCTCAACTTCCAGACACACTGAGAATAGCCCGGGCTGGATACTCATGTGGTTGGGAAAACATGTGGTCCCGGTGGACCTTCATATGGCCTGCAGGGATGCCCTCCAGTGAGATTGTTAATAGTCTGCATTTAGAGGCAGAGATGCCCCTTGCTCTCACCGCTCAGAGGGGAGGGATGGATCCAGTGGATGGGCAGCTCCTGGCAAATCTCCCAGATCTTGGAGTCGAAGAGGAAAGCTGGGTTAACGATGGGCTCCTCGGCAGGAACCCACACTTGGGAGTCCTCCATCTTCATATCCATGGCCTCAGTCTCACCCACCTGCTGGAAAACAACACACACGCAGATGTGCACACTTATATAATATAGCATGTCAGAGCCTGCCCCGGCCCCACACAAAGTATAGTCCTGCATTCGCACTCTCCTCCCATGAGCCACGCAGCAGCTCCAGACTCATCGTTTTTATCTATCACCTTTCTGTCCGCTGAGAGGGCGGCAACTTCCTGACTCCTGACTCCCACTGCCCCGACTGCCTCCTCTTTCTCTCCCTCACTCTCTCCTCGAGCCTGCGGCATGCTCTTTCTATTATACATCATTGAAATTCACAGACAGTGATGATTTGACTTTTAAATGACTTTAGAAGTGGTCTTCATTACTCTGAGTGTGGCTGCAATATCGTTTAATGTGACAGACACAATAAAGCCTTGCATTCTCCTCCCCCATCTCCTCTTCCACCCCCCCCCCCCCCCCCCCCCCCCCCCCCCCCCCCCCCCCCCCCCCCCCCCCCCCCCCCCCCCACCACCTCCGCCACAATGCTTCGCTTGGCACCCAGCACTATCAGTGGGCTTAATTTGTTGATACTGTAGTTCATGAGCTGTAAAGTAAACTATTATTGCTTAATGATAGGGACTACATGTCAGTGTTGTCTAATAGAGACATATGAAGGGGATTTGGTAATGCTCTTCCCTAACAGTGCTGATATTTATTTTCTTCATGTATATGTAAATACACACACAAACAAACCCCCTCTTCCCGTTCCCTTGTTAATTAGCTACCCAGAACAGAAAAACAGTTCACTTGACAAATGTTTTTACAAGGTGATTTTCTCTCAGTCTAAAGCTTAATTGCACATTAGTTAAGCTTGACGTAGAATCCTGGGGCTATAGTAGGAGCAAGAATCATTTATATTGGGTCGCGCCCCCTCCCTCATGTTCACCCCAGTCACTCTCGCTTGAATTAGAGTTTTACTATCCGTGCTGCTTCTTGTTTGTCATCGAGCTGTGACCTGCAGAGAAGGGGGGGGAAAAAAGACTTAAGCGCATTCTGTCACATCAAAGATTGTGTTTGGGCGCGGGAGGTGTTTGGTCCAAGCTTTGACACACTTTCCCCCACTTTTTAGGCGCTGTCCAGTTGACTAATTACGACTCCGAGGACTGGTGCAGCAGGGTTGTGGTGGTACATCAGAGGGGGTGCTCTGGCAATGAGCTGGTGCACTCGCCATTCCCGTGGCCGCAGAAATTAAAATCAAACTGGAGGAACACAAACAGCACACTCTAATTGGACCTCTTAACTACTGAAGCCAAGTGAGTCTTCTCTGGAAAGTAAATGGAGGTCACGACACAGGGCGCACAACATGACTTTGACTTCACAGTTGAGAAACGACTCCAATAACTTGCAGGAGAGGGCCTGGGGGGGAAGTGGTAAAGGTCAGCATTTTAGCATGGGGCAGGGATTTCTAAATGCCAGTTGACAAGCACAAAGACAACATGATTACAGTTCTCCAGTTTATACACACTTCTGAAAGGCTTTTCCATTTTGCTATTGACAAATGATATATTATTAGGACACAAGCAAGTTTTTATCAAGTATTGGACCTTGGGAATGACGGTAATTTGTTTTGTGCGGCCTGCTTCTGGTGTATGTTTGCTTTCTGCCCACAGTGCACAACTTAATTATACACCAGTTGTGCTGTAGTTAATGAATTTACCCTCTCCTGCCACTGAGTCCCAAGGGGGGAAACACTGTCTACATGGCACATTGTTTAAAGTGGTGCTATGTTTGCCAGAGATCAACAAAGATTTTTTCATGATACCCAAAAGCTTTCACATAACTGTACAGAACAAAGGCAGGGGGTTTCATTATGCAGTGTACCAGGTGGTTCATTTGAGTTCATACGCATATTAAAGGGGAACTACGCACATTGTACATTCTTACACATTATTCCCATGGTCTAAGCTAATACAAAAATATTAGTAAGCGGGACGTCGGTGGCTTAGTGGTAGAGCAGGCGCCCCATGTACAAAGCTGTTGCCGCAGTGGCCCGGGTTCAACTCCAGCCTGTGGCCCTTTGCTGCATGTCACTCCCTCTCTCTCTCTCCCCCCTTCACACTCATCTGTCCTATCAATTAAAGGCTTAAAAAATGCCCCAAAAAAATCTTTAAAAAAAAATAAAAAAATTAGTAAGCAATAATCACTCTCTCTCATATCCTAAATCTCTAATTTGTGATGTCAACAAGTATAAAGTCTGGAGCTGCTCCATAGACAGTGACCCAGGAAAGATGTTATAGATGACACTGAGAGCACCCAGGGGAATGTTCTGAGTATAGACTGAACCACAATTCACATTAACTTCCAGATATAAAACCCCCATTTCACAAAGATACAATAAAATGGCGCTGAGCAAATGCTGCCTCAATTGGTTAGTTTTTAGACACCTAAAGAAAAGTCACAATACATAACATTTTCTCCACTTTACCTTGCCATCCGACAGCCCTTGCTGTTGGGGAACTGAAGCCATTATCATGAAGCCAACAGACTCCACTCACAAAAACAGTCATTTTACTTTGCAGAGCACAGGATTTTTTACTACTGTCTACTGCAGCCTAGATTGGTTAGTGTGAAAGGTAAAGCGGAGCAAATATTCAAATATACTGTACACCGACATTGATTCATGTGTGTGGCTAATATACGTTTTGCTGCGGCCCATTCACAGCAGTATATTTTTTAGCTTTCATGCTGGTAGATTTAGTTTATCAAGGATGAGAGCAAAGCAACACAGTGCCTACATAAAATAATGTAAGATGAGATTTATTTTCGTGAAATGTATCCAGTAGATTGTCTTGTTTTTCTCTGTTCGTTATTTTGCATCTACATAATTTAATGTTAACTACATTCATATATTATTTACATATTTTATTTTGCTCTTTACGTTATATTTGGAATATTGTGCACCTTACATGGAGGTAATGAGAATTAGGATTAAGTTTGGCGGAGTGATATAAGATGTGAGATGCCACTATTGTTGCCAATGTTCAGTTGACCTATATTCTCTTTTTGGACATTAAAGTGGATCAAGTAAAACAGAGAACTTGTCCCCGAGCTCTTACTTCACCCACAGCCCTTTGATAGTTAATTCAGTAACTAGCAAGGTTATAGGTAAGAGAGACCTGCCTTACAATAAGCACAGCAGAAACATCAAATAGGTCGGACCACTGTGTTTAACTTTAAATCTTTGAACGTTACAGTTACGGCTTAAAATGACAACAGAAATAAACAAATTTGCCGATTTCACATATCTTCACGATTCAAATCAAGCTAGTCCTCTCCCTGGGAGGGACTGTTGTTGTTGTCACAGTGATGCAGTCATTGTGGGTACATTTTCTTTTTCACAACTGAGAACACTACAGTAATATAAACCCCATTTGAGTTCAACTTTTGTAAACTTTAACTGCAAATGTGTGTTGAAGACAAATAGCAACCTATCTTTACAGTGCTGACTGTTGAGGGATCAGACGGAGTGAAAATACAGAACAGAGGGAGGTATTGTAGCTATTTTATTCAGGCCCCCAGGAGCAGCACTTAGCTTTGAAGCCAATTTTCATCGCGGCCAAACAGTGAAATTACAATTTCCATCATGGGGTGTCATGGGACCAAAAAAACTTTTCCCCATAGACTTGCAATGTGAAAGAGACGTCTGTAAATCAACTGATATTTTTTTTGGGCACCTCAACCCCCATGAAATGACTTGTTTCAAAATCAGAATTTGATCTATTAGTTCCAATAACATTTTGAAAGTCTAGAAGAGCCCCATGACTTAATAATTTTATCCCCATTTGGGTTAGTAGAGGGCGAAACCGGAAATTAGCCACTTGGCTGGTGGAAGTCACTGGTGCACTTGCTCTATGGGCCCCACGATGCAGAAGGTCTGGGTAATTTTATACCCAGGAAGTTGAACTTTTTTGGTTCCATGCACCACTGAGCACCTTTTTATATGAATGAACAGGCCCCACCTCAAACACTGTATCCAGTTTTCTTTATAGGCTACATCCATAAGTTTATTAGGTATATTGGCTGCATCTTCCACTGTTATTTAGTGGAGGTATATTATGAGGAAGTAAGCCTATAAACTGCCCTGCTCTTGTTAGCAACAGTGCTAGCATGCTAGCTAACTGACACTGAGCTAACTTGCTAGCTTGGATAGAATAGGAATAGAAAGATGCTTTTATTATGATGACATGTTCCTGGCTTGCTAGCATGTTAGCAGTTCGCTCAACAGCTTCACTAGTTTGCCTACGAGTAATCACTCCTTTACAAAGACACGTGGATGAATTTTGCTTTGCCACTTTCTGGCCTTAAGACTGAATATGCCACCAGCTGCAGGAACTGAAGTTTTAGTTTTTTGTTGCAAAACAGTCCCACTGGTCACCCTGTCATGAATTGAGCTCCTATCTTCATGCAGACAAACATGAGACAAAACAATCCGTACTGTGTGCTTGCAGGACTTTGGTGTATTCACATCCTCTGCTGTGGTGTTGTTCCTCGGCTCACTCTGTTTTTCTGTTTGCAGTTGTTTGTCTGAGTGGGAGGTTTTGGGTTGCTGGGTGAGCTTTGGTCATCCATATTAAGTGGCTGTTTAATGGAGCAAGCAGCATCAGTTGACAATGTTAAGGGCTGTGAGGGAGGTGGATGGCGATTTCCATGTCAGACTGGTGGAACTGGAATGAAGCTCAGGGATTACTCCCTCAGACGTTTCATAGAGGAGGCAAATTGAAAAGGGAGGAAAAAATCCTGGCAAACAATTCATGTTTGTCACCTGGTTTTCCCTCGCAGGGGCTGCATTTCCTTATCAGCCACTTGCAGTTTTTCCGCAATTTTTTCCATTGTTTTTCACCTCAGCTCTAAAGCCTGCCATGGCTGCTCTGAGCCCTTTTTCCTGAAAGCCTGCGGCTGGGTTAAGCTAGGAACCATTAGTGCTTGGCTTTAACCCCTGTGAGCATCATGTGTTTCACCACCTGAGGAGGAACTTGTGCTGATCTTCTCCAGTGTCCCACGTGGGTGGATTCTAACAGAGGACGGATCAGAGGCCGCTGTTTAATGTGATAACAGACCATGGTGAGGTCAGGCCAAGGTCACTTTTTATTACCAAAATATTCCCTCCACTGATATTTATAGTTTCTCTTCTGAAATCCTGTGTTTTTGTGGTGAAAAACATCCTCTGCAGCAATAAATATACAAAAATACACTTCATATAGATGAAATTGGTGTGGGAATATTGTATGTCATTTTTTAAACTGAACAGTTAGTTGGACATAGATTGACATTTTGGGGTGTATGTTGATTTGGTTTCCTCCATTGATCCCCAACAAATCATGGTAAAATGCACAGCTACAAGCACAGGAACTCCAGTGCACACAAGAAATATCTAGATCACCCTTACTAATTAATTTACTTTAACAGATTATTATTTCAAATGCAATATAACATAGTCTACGAACAAGTTAGGTTTAGAGTTGCACATAGGCAGATTTAATCTTCACACTGAGCCAGGCTTGCTGTTTCACCCTGTTTCCAGCCTTTAACGCCAAACCAAGATAACATGCTCCTGGCTGTCGTTTAAAATTTAGCATCCAGCCACGAGTGTTGCATCAGTTTTCTCATCTAATAAAATAATGGACATAGCTACCGTGACGTCACCTATTGGTTTATTGGTTTGTGGACTCCCCCAAAATGTCCAACTGTTCCTTTAAAGACTAGACTATTGTAGAGACTGTGAACTCCACATTGCCAGAAAGACTTTGCAACAGCAAATAAGCGAAATGTTTGTGTTTTTTATCAACATGAAGAGTACACATTTTTAATGAAAATATTTGCCAAACCACAAAGTGTATCTGCTAAACTTTCAGCCACAACATATGTTGAATACAAATTCAGCCAGCTTTTTCTTTTCATCCTGTTGCCTGCTCTGGTTTCCCTGCCTTATGCTACTTCTCCTGTCATTCCACATCAAGCCACTCCCCCAGTGCTGCAGTAACCCCCTTTCCTGCCATTCCCATCACCTGTTCACCTGTTCCCCACTTCCCTTATCAGTCTCACTTCACAGTATATATACCTGCCAGTTTCCAGCCTTTGTTCTCCCCAGCTTAAGCTAACCTAACCCCTTTCTATAGGTAAGCTGTTTATTAATTCAAGTCAATATAAATCTGTCTGTGAGTTATGCTTTTGACTTCAAGCTTGATGTTTTTCTGAGCCATTACAACATATTTCAATTGTTTTTCAATACAAAATCTACATGTAGCAACTGAAGCATTGTTCACAAAGTGCTAAACCTAATCACATGCTGGACCTGGGATGCAAATCCTGATCAAACTCCTGCAATCTGTATGCCCGCCATCTACCTTTTAAGATATAAAAAGCAAGATTTAGTTAAAAAAAACAAAACAATGTATGGACTCATACAGAAGTAATCCCTCTCAATCATCACTTATGACTCACTTGAAGTGTGTGGCGGTGTGTTTATCAGCAGAGACTCTGCCCTCTGACTGTATGTTCTTATTTTCTTTCTATTTTCTGTGCTTGGGACGTTTATGGGTGCTCAGGTGAGGTCGTGCTTTATAAAAAGGTAGCGGCCAGGTGCCAGACTGTAAGCAGCAGGCATCCAAGAGACACAGCACCAACAAAAACCCACCCCGAAACAAACAAACAAAGAAAAAAACCCACATATAAGGCAAAATGCCAAATGGGAGTGAATCTGTTGCTGGCTTTACTTTCACTTTTGCAGGCGAGCTTGTTTCCAAACAGTAACTGACAATCCTTTATATACCTTTAACCACCTCCTTATAACTAGCATGTGGTGCAGATACTCAAACAAGCATTGCCTGTGAATGAAATCCAGACAGCAATTAAGTTTTTCTCATTCAATGTAACACATTAGTATATATACGTATGTAAAGTCTAGCAGACAGGGTTGATGTCTGACTGTTGATTCAAGGCTCCTTGCTGAGTGTACTTCAGTGTCACATAAGAAAAGGCTGTGAATGACTTTTCACAGAGATTGATTAGAACAACATCATGTATAGCATACCATATACACATTTTTTGTATTTAGTAGAACTTGGTGTAAAGTCTATTTTACTCATGGCAGTCCTGATAAGGGCTTCGGTATCTACTGCTATAAGCCCTAGTCACTCTCCTGGCCTTAGATGATTCACTTTGGAGCTGTGAATTAAGCCAATTAGGCTTCACAGTGCACAAAAGAAGACAGAAATGGCATGGACATATGGTGCTGCCTGGGCAATTAGTATCTGTAAACGTGGATCAGACATTATGAAGATGAGAGGGGGGAAAAAAACAAAACAGCGTTTGGTTTTTGGGTGTAACAGCTTGTGTTCTTAAAGTTAAAACTGAGACTGGGTTTTGCTTGAACTGACAATTGGCTTATTCTGTTTTTAAAATGAAGCCGTGAGCGGGGAGCGTCAGATATTTGCCAGCCACTTCTTCCCAGCTACAATGTGAAATGTAAATGAGAGCATGCAAGCGGTAGAGACATTTGAGAGAGGGATTTTCTCTTTGAACATACGGCCCACTCAGTGAATTGCACTGTGACACTGAAAAAATTGGGAATTTTGATTGATTGAATTTCTTCCATTGCTTTTTCACAAGTTCACATACAACTATGAGAATCACTCTCAACTTGGAGAGAGAGAGCCTTGTGAATTTTACAAAGAAATCATCTCTTAAAAAATACCATTTTAATGGCTTACCTCTCACTCAGACCTCTCCTGCAACCCTTCCCCCTTTAGGCTATTTGGGTAGAGCCTTTGGAGGAGATGATTAAAAATTAATATTGGCTCAAGATTGACAGCAAACACTATTTGATGTGAGCCACAAAGATGTTATGGGTTTGTGGGCAGCTGTCTGACGGTTTCACAGGCACCACAAACCACAGTTTACTCTTCAGTGAAAGGGGTGGGGGAGATGGGATAAGATGGACAGACGGGGGGATTGGTGTGGTGCTCGCAGAGCTCTTCTCTGGTTATCCCCCTACAATATGCATGACAGCCTCTGTAGGACTACAGAGAGTCTGAGGTACAGACAGACGAGGGGAGGAGGCGTACCAGTAACTCTGTGTCCTCAGCCTCCACCTCTGCCACTGTGGGTAGCTTCCTAGTTTGGGTCCTGATGTAGCACCTCTGATGTTCGGCAAACCGGATCCCAGTGATTCCCTTTGAAAAAAAAAAAAAGGAAAAGAAATGAAGGGTTACTCATGAATTCAGATATATGTATCATTCATTAGCTCTCTGTGATGTGGGTATCCCATAAGCACCGGGGCAATCGTTTTAAAATGCTCAGCTTTTTGCTGATAATCAAAGCTGTTAAAAAAGTCAAAGAAGTTAAAACCTAATGAGTGAGAAGAGGTGTGTTTTGATCTTTTTTTCCTTTTAGCATGGTATAAAACTGATGACTGCCTGGCCCTGGCAACACAGCTCTTGCTTTCAGGCTGAATGGAAGTAAAAAAGCGGGGGTGTTCCTCCGTGGATGTATAATACTTAGCAGATAGCAGCATGTATTGCACAGGAGAGCAAAGTGACATTGTTGAGAATGAAGTGTTTTCTACAGAGAGTGCCCCCATTGAATTAGGCAGTCATAGGTCCCTGTCACTCTCTTAATCTACGCAGTCAAGTGTGGAGTCACTCTCTTCAGCTCCACTGATGATCCTCCACCATGTGGACTGTAGCTCTATTCAGTCTGACACATAGAGCCTCAATAGGCAAGAAAGATCTGTTAATTCTCTCCCGCTGCCATTCTGTGTTAATCTAAGATATTCAGCCGGAATAAGTCTGAAAGACTCTCAGTATCTCAGATTGTATCCAATTTATTTTCTGCAGAGTAGAGCTGCTCATTCAGCACACTGTATTAGAACAGACGGCAGGATCTACATCTGCCACGGCTGCTTTAGAATTGTATCAACTGAAAATTGTATGAGCGGCACCATGAAAATGGACTTGATTCAATCTAAATTTAATTACAGTAACACGGTGATTGCAATGACATCTCCTTTGAATCGGTTAACTTGACCATGCGGGTGCCTTTTTTCCACATTTTCTGTGGTGCTGTCAGTCTGAGGACCAGATCCCAGCCATACATGACATGATACAAAGTGATGCCTGTCATAATGTACTGCGTGTAATTTCGTCTGCGCGGGAAAAAGGGATGGGGCAATAATGGTCTCAAGCACAAAAGCATAATGTTTATGCCAGGCTTTATTGTGATGAGTCTCTGTTTAATTTGGGTCTTGTGTATTGGCGAGCCACGGCAGAAGAGGAGAGGGCAATGTTGTGATGAGATATGATGATTACCAGGGTTGGTCAATCAGAAAATGAAGACAGGCACATTAACACGAGAATGAGGAATGGAGAAGCGATGTCATTTAAACACACAGTGATATAATATCCACTCGGAGCATCCACATGGAAGATGCTCATTCAAGAGGATAGAGAACATGTACCTGCATGCATCACTCAGCTCCTGGGAATAGGGAAGTAAAGTCATGTCGGCAGGTATTAGTCTGGTTGATGTCTTTATATTATCAACATAATTTTATGTATCAGAGGCACATTTCTTACTCTTACTTCTTTGTGCTTTAGGCCACAGAATGAAAATGGCTTCATGTGTTAAAATCACAACATAAAAATGCAGCAAATGTAACATATTACATATAATCTGCATGTCTGTGTCTGTCTCTAACCTCATGTTTAGCTAAATCTTCTTATAAATCACATAAATCATGTTTGTAATAGGCCTCTCCACAATATCTGGACATCACAGTGGAGCGCCAGCATCTGAGCAGGATGTAATATTACCGGAGGCTATCCTCAATATCATCAGTAGTTCTCCTGCAGTCATGGATTTTCCAAAGTACTCCAAAAAATATTTGGCCGGATGAAACGCTGGAGGGGATTTTTGTTGCTTCCGTATTATTTGCTCTGAGAAGAGAAAAGGTTAGCCTTGTTTTTTTTTAAATTCCCCTCTGACTTCCACATCCTCATGGCTAAAGGCGATCTGACAGAGAGGCAGCACTGACTACATGAGACACAAACAACTATACACTTAAAGAATGGTATTTCAAATACAGTGAGAGGATTAAAGAAGGAAAATTTTACAATAACTGAGTGACAAAATTTCACCTGGTATTGTTTAGATAATTGGATAATCTTTGCCAATTTGGTCAGCAAACCTTTTTTTTTCTTATTTTGCCTTTAATTGTTATGTCATTCTTATATATTTTTATTTGTTCAACCATATACGTCTCATACAGTGTCTGTCTTTTGAAAGAGTCACACTGCTGTCGAAATCAGCCCATTCTCGGTGGTATTTGACACCCTTGTGTGCCGGGCTTTCAACTAACTCCAGTGTAAATCTCATCCACGGTGAGGTAACATTATGTAACTTACATACCTACATCCCGTGTGAAAGCAAACATCATTGTTGTTTGAATATAACATTATGCAATTTTCGTACAATCTATGCACACTGACGTCACTCACTTGACGTATTTACATCCCATTATGTGACAAACTTATTCATCTTAACTCAAAACATGATCTTTTTCTCTTGCATGAACTTAACTGCGACTGTTTCACAACATTAATCATATGTTACAATGTTTTTTTAAGCTGTGCGTCACATAGAGATGCTAAAGAGTACCCTGTGCTTCATGCAGAGGAGTGTGACAAAGCATTGGTATTTGACAACCTGGAAATGGAACAATATACAACAAACCCTGGACTTTCACCCGGGAGCCTGGTGTTCACTGTCCGAATGCCAAACCATGATGTTTTTTTTTATCTAAACCTAACCATGTGCTTTTATTGACGTCCGACATTGGCAGCGTGTCCTGGAACAGCAGATGCAGGAGAATACCTTGTGTGTAACATGTAGACATGAAAGGCCACTGACAGAATGGTAATATGTGACAACTTTGGATGAGAATGTGTTGACTGTTCACACTGATGTATACACAAGCAATACGTCTGTTCTTCATCACAGGACTATATCAATCACGATGTTATGGTTACTAATCTGAGCTACCATTCAGTAAAAACTGTTTATCACAAATGAAAGTCAACATTAAGGCTTTCACTTCAGTATTATCTTAAGGCAAATTAAAATATTTCAATGTTAAATTTAAGTATTTTATACAAATGAGCTCCTGCTTTTTTCTCCTTATCTTTATTCATAATTAAATTATCAAAACAGTTTAAAGTGGAAATAGACCAGTTTTTTGCTTTTACTTATTATGAAGTAAATGTTGACTGCAAAATGTAATGGCTACAGAATAATGACACCATCAGCGTTTAGTTTGGTTAACTATATGACTCACTTTCACTATGCAATTCTGTCTGCCACCTAGTACGATCTCCTGAAAAAAATAAAGGCTTGATTCATGGTGCAAAGGAGGTGTGTCAAGCATTGCGCAAACAACAGGAAGAGGATAGTGGAAGTTATTCCCAGTTATCTAAGAGTGTTAATTTAAGGTCTTTGCAGTCCCCAGTAGAGGAGATGGCGGACAGTGGAACAACAGAAGTAACTGAAGTCCACTTTAATTATTTTAAATGTTTGCCTTGCAGTCTGAAGAGTCACAATGTATTTTGGGGCAGTTGAGTATGTCAGATAAGTTCACATCTCATGCTCATGACATTCTTGCTAATTTAGTGCAGTGGTTCCCAACTGGTCCAGCCACAGGGTCCAGATTTCTTCTAAGTCATTAGTTCATGATCCACACAGTTTAATATATTCAGTGTCATACTTGTGTTTGGACATGTGATCAAGCTAGTTTGCCATCTCTGTCCATTAGTCACTCACTCTACAGCAGGAAACTGCACTCCTGAGTAATATGTTAGTTTGCAATTTCGAACAAACTCCTCTATTTTTTCAGCTTGCAGGAAGTTATTTCTTGCACTGTGCTCCAACAGTAACACCTCCAGTAGTGACGTGGTAAAATAAATTTGTGTCTTAAGTGTTATGTTTTTTTTCATTTCACAGAGAATTCAGAGATACTTGTAAATTAGCCAGTGAAATATTTACAGTGTCACAATGTCTGCTTGTCCCTCCTGTCGGCCACACTCTCCAGGCCCCTTCTTTCAGTGTTATTCTCTACTTGTCCACAAGATGCCCTCAGACCTTCCCACCTGTCCCAGTCACCTGACTCCCACTTCCAGCTCCTCCCTCCTGGCCTGTAGTAACCCCTCTCCTTTCACTCCCATCACCTGACCTTCCCCACCCCCATTGCTCACCTGTTCCCCATTTCCCTCATTAGTCTCAGAGCCCATTTCCACCCACACTTTTGTTCACAGATCCTCCTGTCCACATACTTTGTACTTTAGGTTAGTTTCCATGGATTTTATTTACATACAGCCACATACTCTGACCCGACAGCGTGCCCCGGTGCTGAGCTTCAGTCAGGTAAACAGTATTTAAGTAATTATGTTTAACAATAAAACTGAGTAATTAGACATTACAAATTGTTTAAGTCACATGGTACATAATGTGTTTTCTTAATTTAAACATTACAAAATAAAGTTGAATCTTAATGTAACTCATTAAATGAAAATTGATGTCTTACACATTAACATTAAACAAGCTAGTTAGAAATAAGGTTCAGGTTATATAAACTTTACATGTGCTACAATTAGGTGGGTACAGTTGCTTTTATTTTAATTACTGATTAAAAATGAACCACAGATGATAGAAAAAGCAGAAAAGGGTCCTTTCTCTGCTTTTTCACCATGTTCTCATGACACACATCATGTGACATAAGTCGCTACGGCGGCATGTTACACATTCTAGAACACATTTTGGTTATAGACGAGAGACAAACAGTGGGCTCTTGGGTGAAAGTCCAACTGGCCAGGCGTTTCTTAAGAGAAAGATACCTCTGTGCGTTGGATGTCCACTCACAAAGTGGCAGTATTTCACAAGTTGCGTTGATGCCTAATGTGTCAACAACTGCCGCTGCCCAGTGTGTATCATACCACCAAGAAAGGTGTCTCTTTGCATCATTATCTGACGCTGAACTAACTGACAAAGCAGAAGTATTTCATGAGTTGGAAGTAAGAACAGGCTGGCCTTTTTTTCCAAAAAGACAAAACTACCACTTCTTGCTGTTGTCACATTACTTCTTGTCTATATATA